TCTCTGTACTTCATGTGTTAAAACTTTAAAACAAAATATTTTTTTATTAAACAACCTTTATTTAACCAGGCAAAGCCCTTTAAGATCAGAGGTCTCTTTTGCAAGGGAGGCCTGGTCCTGAAGGCAACCTGTTGATTTGATTTGAGTTATTGATTTAACAGGAAAATATTACTAAAAATCACAAAGACAAACAAGCATACCAAATTTCAGGAAGGCAGCATTTGCAAAATAGGACGTCTAAATATGAGCACAACAAAAAGTGTCCAGCAGATGGCAGACAAGATTCTTCTTAAAGGACTGTAGTTTTGAAATGGACTTTATGTTTTGAGGAATGTCATTCCATGCTTTAGTATAAACATAGAAGAAAGACCTCTGGCCGTAACAGTTTTTAAAAGTTGGTAATATCAGTTGTCCTTTTGTAACAGATCTAGTTGAATGACCACTTCCAGAATTTGATTTGGGCAACAATGCACAGAGAGTTCCATTATTGGCTCCTTGGAAGATCTGAAAATATAAATTAATACCACTATACAAAACATAATTCTGAAAAGTCAATCTTTCATTCTTACACAATCAGTTCTTGTTTAGTAAATCAGTCTCAAAACAAGATCAAAAAGACTTTTTGGCTGATATAAGATTTTAAAACTTGGTTAGATGGACATTTTTTTCAGTGTGCAGACAACTTTTTATTACTACTCTGGCAGATGTTTAGCCTCACATCCCAAATGTTGCAGAATTAATATTTAAATATACCATTAGTAATATAACATTATAATTATTATCTTTAAAAATTAAATGTAATTTTGGAAATTCTAATCACTAATAAACACTCAATACTTAAATACATTTTATATCAGAAATTTACTTCTGATACTTAAGTACAGCAAATGTCAGATACTGTAAGACTTATATGCAAGTAATATTCTTTACGAAGAATATAAATTGTACCAAAGTAATTTTATTTTAACATACTTGTACTTTTACTCAAGTATAATTTTGAAGTACTTTATAAAAGACTGGAAAGAATGGATCTAAGTAGAGGACAATCCTGGAGGAAAACCTTGTTAGAGGCTCTAAAAGACTCGAGACTGAGGCAGAATTTCACCTTCCAGCAGGACATGAAACATCCAGCTGAACGTTCCAGTCAAAGTCCAGACTAAGCTCCATCTGAGAACCTGTGATCAGACCTGGAACTGCTGTTCACACATGTTCTGACTGACTTTCAGGTTTTTAGCAAAAAGAATAAGCAGACATTTGAAAGTGTGTAAAGCTGGTGGAGACAGAGCCGCCAAAAAACTGCATCTAAAGGTGGTTCCACACAGTTCTGACTCAGAGGCTGAATTATTAAAAAAACTATTTGCTTTTTGCGTCATCAAACATTATTCCTAATCTAATTTAAAAAAAGTGAAAACAAACCTTTAAAATTCGAACCAACTTCCAGGTTACTTCTTGTGATTGCAGTCATTCTTAAACACAGAGTTAAATCTCCTGAGTATCCTTCAGCTTTTAAAGTTTGTTTTTACTAACTGAGCTCAGCGGTGACAGGAAACACTTTGTACTGAGCAAATAAAAACTGTTACGTTACAACATGAAGGAAATCCATCTGCTGGAAAGTGATAAGAGGTTATCTGATGAAGAGGCTCCCCGTCACAGAATTAACACTCAGGATTAACACTTCTGGCCTTTGAGGGTATTCACCTTTAAATTTCAGCTTTTTGTTGTTATTTTGGGTAAAACTTGTTACAATTATCATGATTGTTAGAGCTGGAAGAAGAGATGAAGAGGAGTCTCACCTATGGGTGATGCAGCAGTGTCTGAGTCTTCTACTGTAACTTTAGACGCCCTCTAGTGGAGACGTTGAAGCAATGCTGGAAGGTCATGTTGCAGTATTTAAACCTGCAGAGGAAAACTGATCCCAAATCTGATCCCTGAACTCAAACCAAGTTCACTTTAGGACCTCAGATCAGTTAAAGCTTATGTTTAATAAAAGATGTTTGATAGAGGGAATAAAGAATTCTGATCTCAGTTGACTGACTGACTGACTGACTGACTGACTGACATACAGGTGCTGGTCATAAAATTAGAATATCATGAAAAAGTAGATTTATTCCAGTAATTCCATTTAAAAAGTGAAACTTGTATATTATATTCATACATTACATACAAACTCATATATTTCAAATGTTTATTTCGTTTAATTTTGATGATTACAAATGACAACAAATG